ATATTCTAGAAATTTTAAAGTATTTTATCGAAAGTGGCATATTAATAGCCATTCTGAAAAAAAATACCCTGACTATGCCTATTGTAAATAAATCATAATTACTTCCACGAGTCTAAATTCAACATCTTGCTAAAATCAAAGATAATACAAATAATTCAAAACCACATTGTGATGTTTTTGCGACTTAATTCATGTCTGCATAAATAACCCATTACGACTGTGATCATATATAAACATGTAAACAGTTCATTGCTACTACCTTGTTTAGCTATCAAAACTTTGCAGCCCAGCCCCTGGATCCATTATGTGCCACTGTAACACCACTGCTGCATCCACACACACACACACACATCTCCCCATCTCTTCCCCTTACAACCCCTCCCCTACCCCCACCCCCACACACACATGTACACACACAAATACAAAACCTAAAAAAAAAAAAAAAAAATGGTGGCTCAGAAGGGAAGTTGAAGGCTCAGGAGATCAGAGGAAAATGGTTCTGGTATGGAAGAATGGATGGAAGAGCAATGTAAAAGGATGGAACAAGAATGGGAGAGCAAAATAGGCGAGTTTTCTGGAACAAAGGAGAAAAGGATGGAGGAGGAGAAGAAGAAATAGGAATTACAAGTTGAAGCTGCAGAAGCCAGGATAAGGACCCTAGAATATGAGGTAAATAGGTTGAAGTGAGTTACAGGGCTATTACCCAGAGGTGACATAGCATCTGAAGCTGGTACACCCCTACTGAATGAGAAGCCTAGCAGAAAGAAAGGAGACATTACTTACACTAATTCCCTATCAGCCCACCAAGCAGGGATAGTAGTAAGGAAAGGGGTAGAAGGTGGAGAGGGGGTTAAGTCACAGGTAGAGGCAGGATCATGCCACCAAGAGCTACAGGAAAAAATAAGGGAGACAATGGCCATGTACAAACAGGACCCAGAAACACAGAGGGAAAGACAATGAGAGGAGGAGAGGGGGAAGTTAGTGTTTATTCATGGGCTTCAGGAGAGCGAGAGGAGGACACACAGGAATAAAAACAGGAGATTGAAAACATCATCAAAGAAATAGGTGAGGAGGACATGACTGAGGTTGTAAATTTTCAGAGAATAGGGGGGATACTTGAAGAGAAGACATCGGCTGGTCAAGCTGATTCTCAAGACAGAAACAGTGCAGAACAGGATTCTGCAAGAGAAACCACAGCTGAAAGAATCGTCAACATAAAAGAGGGTGTTCCTAGACCGAGACAGAGCAAAAACAGAATGACAGCAGCTGAGGGAGAGGACACAGAAGTGAAAGAGGCTAAGAAGAGAGACAAGGACAGAATCAGCAGAAGACAGTCAGAGCAGGGCAGAGCAACAAGCACAAGCACACAGAGAACCACCCCCAGAACCCCACAACCAAACATGCTATCCCAACACAAACCACAATCCACGCTTACACCCCCCACCCCACACTATGCTGTAGAATCCCACAGCACACTGCCAGGACCCTCACCCTCACAGACTTCCTAGAACACAGTGTTGGAGACGAAACTGAAGGTATGGTACACCAATGCTGATGGAATAACAAATAAGTGGGAGGAGTGGTATGAAAGAGTCGAAGAGGCATCACCAGACACCATAGCTCTCACAGAAACCAGGCTCATAGGAATGATAACAGATGCAATCTTTCCAATGGGATATCAGATCCTGAGGAAAGACAGAGGGGGTGGAGGAGTGGCACTGCTCATCAAAAACCAATGGGATTTTGATGAGCTGGAGAAAGGAGACAGAGGAGAAGCAAGAGATTACATAATAGGAACACTTCAATCTGGAGGTCCCATGGTGCTAACTGAAGTGATGTATAACCCACCACAGAACAGCAGGAGGCCAAGGCAAGAGTATGATGAGAGTAATAGAGCGATGGTTGACACACTGGCTGAAGTGGCAAAAAGGGCTCATGTGAGCAGAGCAAAGCTGCTGATTTTGGGTGACTTCAACCACAAGGAAATAGATTGGAAGAACCTGGAGCCTCATGGGGGCCCAGAAACGTGGAGCGCTAAGATGATGGAGGTGGTACTGGAAAACCTCATGTACCAACACATAAGGGACACTACTAGAGAGAGAGCAGAGGATGAACCAGCAAGACTGGACCTAGTATTCACCCTGAGTAGTGCAGATATTGAGAACATCACATATGGAAGACCCCTCAGGGCCAGTGATCACATGGTTCTGAGCTGTGAATACATAGTAGGGTTATAAATGGAGAGGGAAGTAGGAAGGGCAGGACGAATGAAGCCAAACTACAAGAAAGGGGACTATGCAGGTATGAAGAATTTCCTGCACGGGTTCAGTGGGACAGAAAACTAGCAGGGAAGTCAGCAAATGAGATGATGGAACATGTGACAACAATATGCAAAGAAGCTGAGGAGAGGTTTGTACCCAAGGGTAACAGAAATAACAAGAAAGCCAGGATGAGCCCTTGGTTCACCCAAAGGTGTATAGAGGCCAAAATCACATGTGCTAGAGAATTGAAGAGGAATAGAAGACAAAGGACCCAGGAAAATAAGGAGAGTAGTCGTAGAGTCAGAAATGAATATGCACAGGTAAGAAGGGAGGCCCAACGACATGAAAATAACATAGCAGCGAAAGCCAAATCTTACCTGAAGCTGTTGTACAGCCACATCAGGAAGAAAACGACAGTCAAGGTCCAGGTGATCAGGCTGAGGAAGGAAGGAGGGGAGATCACAAGAATCGACTATGAAGTATGTGAGGTGCTCAACATGAGATTCAAAGAAGTGTTCACAGAGGAGACAGAAGGGTCTCCAGAAAGACGGAGAGGTGGGGTACACCATCAAGTGTTGGACACAATACATACAATCGAGGAAGAAGTGAAGAGGCTGCTAAGCGAGCTAGATACCTCAAAGGTGATGGGGCCGAATAACATCTCTCCATGGGTCTTGAAAGAGGGAGCAGAGGTGCTATGTGTACCACTAACAATGATCTTCAACACATCTATCGAAACAAGGCGACTACTTGAGGTATAGAAGACAGCAAATGTAGTCCCAATTTTTAAAAAGACTGACACAAAGCATTAAAGTACAGACCAGTGTCACTAACATGTATAGTATGCAAAGTCATGGAGAAGATTATCAGGAGAAGAGTGGTGGAGCACCTAGAAAGGAACGAGCGTATCAACGACAGCCAGCATGGGTTCAGGGATGGGAAATCCAGTGTCACAAACCTACTGGAGTTCTATGACAGGGTGACAGCAGTAAGACCAGAGAGAGAGAGAGAGAGAGAGAGAGAGAGAGAGAGAGAGAGAGAGAGAGAGAGAGAGAGAGAGAGAGAGAGAGAGAGAGAGGTGGGTAGATTGCATTTTCTTGGACTGTAAGAAGGCGTTTGACACAGTACTAAACAAGAGATTAGTGCAAAAGGTGGAGGATCAAGCTGGGATAACAGGGCAGGCACTACAATGGATCAGGGAATACCTGTCCGGAAGACAACAGCGAGTCATGGTATGTGGCAAGGTGTCAGAGTGGACTCCTGTAACGAGCGGGGTGCCACAGGGGTCAGTCTTAGGATCAGTGCTGTTTCCGGTATTTATGAGAAACATGACAGAAGGAATAGACTCCGAAGTGTCCCTGTTTGCAGATGATATGAAGCTGATGAAAGAATTCAGTCAGACGAGGACCAGGCAGAACTACAAAGGGATCTGGACAGGTTGCAGGTTTGGCCCAGAAACTGGCTCCTGAAGTTTAACCCCACCAAGTGCAAAGTCATGAAGATTGGGGAAGGGCAAAGAAGACTGCAGACGGAATAGAGTCTAGAGGGGCCAGAGACTACAAACCTCACTCAAAGAAAAGGATCTTGGGGTGAATATAACACCGGGCACATCTCCTGAGGCGAACATCAACCAAATAACTGCTGCAGCATATGGGCGCCTAACAAATCTAAGACCAGCATTCCGATATTTTAATAAGGAATCGTTCAGGGCCATTTACACTGTGCACGTTAGGTCCATATTGGAGTATGCGGCACCAGTTTGGAACCCACACCTAGCCAAGCACGTAAGGAAACTAGAGAAAGTGCAGATGTTTGCAACAAGACTAGTCCCGGAGCTAAGGGGTATGTCCTACGAGGAGAGGTTAAGGGAAATCGACCTGACGACACTGGAAGGCAGGAGAGAATGGGCGGATTTAATAACGACATATAAAATACTGAGAGGAATCGACAAGGTGGACAGAGACAGGATGTTCTTGAGACAGGACACAGCAGCAAGGGGTCATAGTTGGAAGTTGAAGACTCAGATGAATCACAGGGATGTTAGGAAGTATTTCTTCAGTCACAGAGTTGTCAGGAGGTTGAATAGTCTGGGAAGTGATGTAGTGGAGGCAAGATTCATGCATAGCTTTAAGAAGAGGTATGATAAAGCTCATGGAGCAGGAAGAGTGACCTAGTAGCGACCTGTGAAGAGGCAGGGACAGGAGCTGTGACTCGATCCCTGCAACCACAATTAGATGAGTACAACTAGGTGAGTACACACACAGGTATTCGTGCGCGCGCACGTGTAGATGATGCTATGCTAATATGAAACTCCATTGCGGCTCAGCCACGTGTAGCAGTAAGAAGCAACAGGTGCCCAGCAACACCTATACAGGACACCAGCAACAACAGGGGATTCGATCAATGCCAGTAGCCACCCTCCTCCCGTTTTCTGTGGGTAAACACCTGCATGTCTTGGCACCCGGCCCTTGGCTCCGTGGCGGAGGCATCTCCATGCCTACACTTGACTTCAGATTCTCCTTCGTATTTCCACAATTATTCACTCAGCACCTGCCTACAAGTTGCATCCCACTAGAGAAATATTTTTTTTTTATGTTTCACAGTTTCGCAATATATATGTGTGTGAGTATGTGTGTGTTTATGCTGCTGTATTTTTAAAGAGGAGTTTCTTTATGAGGTGGCGAGGATTTGAACGCGAGAGCAATAGAGTCAGGTAGTTCCTCTGGCGTAAGTGTTGTGATGATGTGTTGAGTACCTGTATATCTCTTATTGCGACCTGCCTCTCTCCTGGCCTGACCTGAGCCTCGGTAGCTCCTACTCCTCAGAACTTGGGGACCGGACTGAAAAGAACAAAGTCAGAACAAGCAGTACACCAGTAGCATAGTTTCCAAAGATTACATGTGATGAGGAGGCTGTATGTGGGAGTGAGGGCGGTGTGCGTCGTATCTGTGAGTGACGTCCGTCTTGTGTCGTGACACCGGAAGTGGTAGTGTAGTCGTGAGACCAGGTGAGAGTGGCAGTGAAGGACATTACAACGCCACCAACACGAATTGCTGCTGTCAATTGCAGCCACAGTTTCCTTTCACGGTTGCCTCCCACAACAGGAGCCGCCAGTTTCAGCCGCCAGTGTTGAGTGGGTTGGAATGAGTTTGAATTGTATTTTTTAGGGAAAGGGGACAAGAGTAGAAGAAGTCACCCATGTTAGCTTGCGTCCACCGCCTTCTCCCTTCAACACTCACCAGCTCTCTATTCAACACCTTCCTGCTCCAAAAAATCCAAAATCCAAAATCCACTTGATCCCTCTCGGACACCTTCCCGTCTTCTCCAGCCCCCACCTTCTCCAACACCCTATCTCCTACAACACTCCCCCGTCAACACCATATACAGGGAGAACAAGAGAACAGAATTATAAACTAAATAAAAAAAAGTGCCGAAACGAAGAATTAATCAAAGCTTTAATTTACAACACAAAAGAGTGATTTATTTCCTAAAAAAATATGTAATAACCAAATCCGTACTACAACAGCTCCACTCTTGTTACTTCAAGTCGGTAATCACATAATAACTTGGGCACACAGTCAGGTATATATACAGGAGGTTTCATGTATGTTAAAAAGTCGTGCACTAAACCAGTATGGGTTATACATTTATTGAGAGGAGTATTTATCTCATTATATTTACAACAAACAGTTCATCTTACTATCCTCTATTAGGACTGAAGCATTTTTTACGTCAGTGAAGTAGTTTTTGGTGTGATAACAATGGAATATAGCTGTTCTCCCACTGCTACAAATATGTAATCACAAAGTAATGAAGTGTGATTGATTGATAGGCTTTGAGTGTGTCTGGGGGGGGGGGTTAGGGGGGATGTCTGGTTAATAATAATAAAACTTTATATATATTGTGCTAAACTTGGGAAGCACTTTTTTTCCTTTTGAAGTTTATTATGACTTTGGATGTCTACTGAAAATTACCCATTGATTATCCTAATATCCGCCGCATACGACCTCAGGGAAAAGTCCCTGACATTGTTCATATTTCAAATTATTCTCGAAGAACAAAAAGGCACAATACCGTGACTGGAACAATATAAAAATAACCTGAACATAAGAGAGAGAAGCTTACGACGACGTTTCGGTCTGACTTGGACCATTTATAAGTCACACTACGACTCATGAAAGACTCAAATAGGATCGATACGTCGTCCTAAGCTTCTCTCTCCTGTGTACAGGTTATTTGTGTATTCTCGATGGATAAGAGTCTGTGAAAGTCCCTTGTTATGATACTGGGCACGTCTCTACTTTCACCATAAACTGACTAATCACTTGAAGGTTTATCTCACAGGCGCCGTGGATCTGATAATGGGCATAAGGTGGAGCCGAGAGTCTTGGTAGGAGGGAGTGTGGCTGGTAATAGAAGGGGTATAAGAGGCCATGCGCTTGCATATTTTAAATCCTACCTTTCTAATAGGTATCAGTATGTCACCATTAAAGACACAGCCTCATCAATACGGCCACTTGATACTGGAGTTCCGCAGGGAAGTGTCCTTGGACCCCTGCTCTTCCTCATTTACATCAATGATCTTCCAAACATATCCCAACACCTGAAACCCATTCTCTTTGCTGACGACACGACTCATGTCATCTCCCACCCTAATCTTGCCACCCTCAACACCATTGTTAACGAGGAGCTGCTCAAAATATCGACTTGGATGACAGCCAATAAACTTACACTTAACACTGCAAAACCTACTATATTATGTTTGGTAGCAGAGCAGGTGTTGCGCAACTTAACATTGAGATCGACAACACTCTAATTGCCAGACATAATGAGGGCAAATTCCTTGGCCTATACCTCGACAACAACCTAAATTTCAGCACCCATATCCAACACATAACAAAAAGAGTATCCAAAACGGTGGGGATCCTCTCCAAGATACGATACTACGTACCGCAAACAGCCCTTCTCACACTATACCGTTCACTTATATATCCATACCTCACCTATGCTATCTGTGCTTGGGGTTCAACTGCAGCAGCACACCTAAAGCCAATAATAACCCAACAAAAAGCCGCAGTAAGAATAATCACTAAATCCATCCCTGGCAACACCCCCCCCCCCACTCTTCATAGATCTAAACTTACTCCCTGTTCAGTACATCCACACTTACTACTGTGCAATCTATATCTACAGGACCTTAAATTCCAATATTAACCTTGACCTAAAACGCTTTCTTGACAGTTGTGACAGGATCCACAGGCATAACACCAGACACAAACATCTCTATGACATTCCCCGTGTTCGACTAAACCTTTACAAAAATTCAATGTATTTCAAAGGACCTAAAATCTGGAACACCCTACCTGAAAACTCTAGAACTGCAGACACATTCATCACTTTCAAAACTACAGTTAGAAAACATCTTATCTCCCTGATACACCCCGACAACTAACTACATGATAACCACCTGGTGGTTCACAATTACACTCACTCACCAACTGACTATAAACCCAGAAATACTAATCTTAATCTTAAAATAATAAATCCTAACTAGTCATAAGTTTGCCTATGATACTAAAATATAGACACCTTGTATTGTGCCAAAACAAAAGCATTCACATTGCTAAACTCACAAATTATGATGTAGTCACTTAGCCTTAATACCATAATCTGTAAGGATTTAATGTTAAGAATTAATCAAAGTCTGCTCGAAATGCCTAGCCATGCTATTCAATTCAATTCAAAGTTTATTCTCTATAAGGATTACAATGCTGAGTTTACAGAAATTTGGTTATTGTGTGGTTTACATGTAGTAAAATTGTGATTACAGAGTGTACCACTAGAACGCTTAGCATGGCTAGGCATTTCGGGCATACTTAGTTTTATTCTTAATTGTAAAATATTACAAATTATGAGGTAAGTTGGTATTATGGCTAAGTGACTAAATACTAGTTTGTGAGTTTAGCAATGTGAATGCTTTTGTTTTGGCACAGTACATAGTTTCAGTATTGGAGTATCACAGGATTCATTATTTTAAGATTGAGATTAATATTTCTGTTTATGGTCAAATGAGTGAGTGAGTGTAAGTGTGAACCACCAGGTGGTAATTCGTGTAGTTAGTTGACGGGGTGTATCAGGGAGATAAGATGTTTTCTAATGGTAGTTTTGAAGGTGATGAATGTGTCCCGCAGTTCTAGAGTTCTCAGGTAGGTATTCCAGATTTTAGGGCCTTTGACATACATTGAATTTTTGTAAAGGTTTAGTCGGACACGGGGAATGTCGTAGAGATGTTTGTGTCTGGTGTTATGCCTGTGGGTTCGTCACAACTATCAAGAAAGCGTTTTAGGTCAAGGTTGATATTAGAGTTTAAGGCCCTGTAGATGTAGATTGCACAGTAGTAAGTGTGGATGTACTGAACTGGGAGTAAGTTTAGGTCTATGAAGAGTGGGGGGGTGTGTTGCCAGGGATGGGATTTAGTGATTATTCTTACTGCAGCTTTTTGTTGGGTTATTATTGGCTTTAGGTGTGTTGCTGCAGTTGATCCCCAAGCACAAATAGCATAGGTGAGGTATGGATAAATAAGTGAGTGGTATAGTGTGAGAAGGGCATTTTGCGGCACGTAGTATCGTATCTTGGAGAGGATCCCTAGTGGCCCCCTCTGTAATTAGTATTTTATAACATGTAAACCACACAATACCCAAAACCTGTAAACCCCACATTGTAACCCTTATAGAGAATAAACTTGAATTGAATTGTTGGTTGTGGGCGGAGGATGGGCGGGTGGTTCCGCTCCGCCTTCCGTGTGTATACTTCGTGGGAGCGGCGGCGGCGAGTGGCCGCCCTGCCGCCCACCTTCCTACAGGCCGCCCTCTCCAGTGGGTGGCGGCCATTACGGACTCGGCCACCCCTATGTGGGCGACTTCTCATTGGTAAGTCATGAGTGTGTTCATATATTATATATATATATATATATATAATATATATATATATATAATACATATATAATATTATATATATATAATATATAATATAATATATATAATATATTATAATAAAATATATATAATAATATATAATAATAGTGTACTTTTTTTCTGGA